GTAATCATATTATTCCTTCCATATAACATATAAAAATCATCAATTGTATCGTATTTAAGGCTTCGTTTGAGATAGCTTTTCATTATTTTTTAAAGCATTTTTATCGTACAAAAATTTTTTGAACATAAAAAAAAAGTACTAAAATAATTTCCCAAACAAATACTAACTCTTCATCTCTATTCATTTAATTAAATTTGCTGACTACAATACTATAAGTCTTAAACCATTACTGAGTTCGGACGATGTAAATTTGGTCAAATAAAGGCATGCGATAAGAAATTTTTAGCTTCTGGAAAATCCAGAGAATAAGCGCGCATTTATTATTATTACTTTTTTGACTAAATTTCAGACTAAAGCCATCCTATTTTGAATTATTTTTCTTCGAGATAGCGTTAACTTGTAGCTTAATCTAACAGTAATATCTATTGTTGTTGAAAATAGAGGAAAGACAAATGGCCTTATTGGCCAAGAAGTTCCTATATTTAAAATATTTCGAGCAAATTTAAATAAATAAATTTGGGTCAAAATATTTCCACTAAATTTTAATTAAAATAAATTTTAGAATCATAAAATTCATTTGAGATAAATATAATATAATAACATGTGATGCACAAATACTCCTCGTGAGAAATTATTCTATGCGGAGACCAGATCGTGAGAACCGTTCGGATTTGTTACGTTTTTACTGTTTTTTTGCTGCGCTTTTGCAAATACTCAGCAAAAAAACAACAAATATGAAATTATTAATGTATTTTTGGTGAGTATTTGTTGCGTTTTTATAAAAGGGCAGCTAAAACACAGCAAATATCATATTAATTGAATGTTTATTGTGCTTTTGTTGCCCTTTTGTAAAAGCGCAACAATATTAATCAATTTTAATGTGGTGTGTAAAGAAAGGCTTGAGCTAGCCCATGAGCTTGATCATTTACAAATTTAGGTTTCGTTTGGGGTAATTTATTATACTGCTTTTTAAAGCAAATTTTAAATACAAAAATTTCTTAAATAAGAAATTTTTGTATTAAAAATATGCCATAGAAAACAGAAAGAAAATTATCCCAAATGAAACCTCAGTAAGCTAATATAGATAAATTATATGTTCAAGTTAATCCAAAATCCTTTGAATGATTTAAATCCTTTTCTCTTATTGGAAATGCAATTTTGGGTTATTAATTTTAATGACTTTGATTAGTAGACTTAACAACAATTTTTCTCTCATGCGTTCACTATGAGGTTGGCCATTACGCCATATTTCTAATCTGCTTTAATTTCTGTGTGCTAGCTCTAACAAGGAATTTCCACAGAGGAGACGAAGTAGTAGTACTTGGTCACCAAAGGCAACTGAGAGTTCCGATCCTCTTTAATATTATTTATAAACATGATATATATTACCTTGCCAAATTTATTGATATTAATCAACAAACGTTAGAAAGACTACTTAGGCTTCGTTTAGGAAGGCTTTCTTATTAGTTTTTAAAACAGTCTTTTTATTTTTTTTACTAAAAAGCTTCTTTAAAAAACAATAAGAAAGCCGTTCCAAACAAAGTCTAAGGCTTCGTTTGGGACGTTTTTCGTTTGGGATGACTTTTTTACTATTTTTTAAGCAGCTTATAGAACAAATTTTTTAATTTTTATACTAAAAAATTACTTTAAGAAGCAGTAAAAAAATCGTCCAGGGGGGAGTATTAGCCTAAAAACTCCTCAACTAGCCCGCCTGGAGATCATCATCAAAAGGACTCGTTAAAGGCACACTTCCTCAATTTCCAAGTTATCTATAACTCAATGACTAGAAGCACTATAGGAAAATGGCGTGTTACCGGCGGAAGAAATGCGCCGCTTTCTCCAGCGCATGTAAATCTGACGAAAAGTACTATGACGGTAATCGAAAATTATAGTGAAGTCAACTAAAGGCTCAACAAGAAACTGCATATTGCATTAGTAGAAAGTATAATATTACAAAAAGTAAAACTAAGGTTTCGTTCGTCACAGCTTTCAAATGCAATATTCAAGTAAAAACATTATTTGAATTAAAATTTTGTGTACTAAAAAACTGCTTTAAAAAATAGTAAGAAAGTTGACACAAATGAAGCCGAAATATGTATGAATCTATCTCTATTTCCTTCAACAAAATTAAATAAAAAAAAAAAGAAAGAAAGAAGAAATTTCACTATATATCTTGTGTACATTCCATAAAAAATTAATTGTAATACTAATCTATTTATTTCTCATAAAATTGTACTAAATGGAAATTCTGTAACACCGATGATCGAATATTAATTTCTTAGTAGCTTAGTTTAATTAACCATTCTCTATTCAGAAATGTCCGATGGGATTCTTTATAAACCAATTTTTTAAGAGTCTAATTAATCATAATTGCTTCTTTGAAAAAAAAGTACTGAATTTCGTTAAAGAAGATTAGCTTTCAGATTGACAAGAAGTTCATGTGGTGATATGCTTGTATATAACTAAGTTCAAGACCTATTATTTTTTTCTCTTCTTACAATAAAAATAATCCTACCAAAGTTGACATTCTCAAATCTTCAATGATATTGGGCCAGCTAGCCTCCAGTGTTTTTGTTTGAATTATAATCAGATCATAATGAAAGAGTCAACAAGAAGAAATTTTTTTAATTATATGTATGAAAAGTTTATGTTTTATGATGTTTAATTTGGAGTTCATGAATTTATAAATAATTTTGTGCTCATGATCTCATCATAAATAAACTATGTAATAGATTTTTTTTTGTTCTAATGATAGTATAATCATAAGATCAAGGTTTTATTTGGGACGGTTTTTTTACTGATTCTTAAAACAGCTTTCTAGTTTAAAAATTAAAATTTTTATAGTAGAAAGCTGTTTTAAGAAGCAGTAAGAAAGCCCTCCCAAACGAGATAAATTATTCTGTGCGGAGTCCGGACGTAGATCGAACGTCATTCAGACACAACTGGAATGGGTCACGAGCAGTGGTACCGAGCTGTACCGAGCCATGCACGGTACCGAGCCATGCACGGTACCGAGCAAGGGGTGACGT